AAAAATGAGATTCGTGCAAGTCAAACTAACTTAACTTTGATCAAGTCTATAATAAATAGTATTAACATTTATGTCTCCAACTAGATTTACTATAAAAATATATTTCATAATTAATTTACTAGTACTTATTTTGTATCATAAATTTTATTATTTTTATATAACTTTGGTCAAGCTGCAAATCGTTTTACTCCTCGAAAAGTGAAAATTGCATCCTTTTGTGAACGAAGTGAGTACAAAGTTGTAGATTGCGTCGATCTTTGTAATTTTGATATAAAGTTTGTTTTCATCCAGCAACATACGAAAAAGTTATATATTATTTTTATGCAACTATTTCTAGATGCGGCTCTCTTAAGAGTGCGACCTCTGTTAATCGATTTTTAGAGGAGGCACCTTAGAATGACCCCCTCTGTTAATAGCCATTTTGAGAGGTGGATATTTTAAGAAATTTGCCTCTATCAACCGATTAATGGAGATAAGCATGTGACGGCGGACTAGAAGGGGTGAATAGTCTTTTGTAAAACTTAATTGCTATGGCTAGCCAATATAAAGGTGGAATTAAACTAATGGTCTAGCCAAGACTTCACCCCTTTATCTATGTTCACAAGCGCCCTTAAAAGATCCTAACTAAGATTGCAATTAGTATGCCGAGCTAGTGAGATCTCACCTACACAAGTCTAATATGCAAGATCACACAACCCTAAGCAACTAAAACTCAAGCAATCATAAGGGAGCTCCTGCACATACTAGCTAGTGAACACGAGGTAAACTTCAACTATAAGCTACACTAGTAAGCTCTATACTAGCACAACTACTAGAGCTACACAAGCACAAGAGCAACAACATTGGCACAAAATATACAAGTAAATAGGTAGTGTTGGGGAGTTGCAAATCGAGCGGGAGACAAAGGATGACACGGTGATTTTCTCTCCTGAGGTCGGTGGCTTGCCAACCACCTACTCCCCATTGAGACGAGTTCTTTAGATTACTGCTATTCTACGAGCGTTGCATGCCATCAAGCTCGGCCCTACGACATGGGCGCTCGTGTATAAGCCCATGTGATACTAGGCACTCTTCATGCCTCCTTTTTACTAGAGTTGATCTTCACCTTCTTCCTACAAGGATGAGCACAAGAGCCCCGAACAAAGCACCACACAAGCTCCTTACATGCTTCAATGATGCATGGAGTCACAATCTCCAAGCCGTTTAGGAGGTGGAAACCTCCAAGAGTAACAAGACATCGAGCTTGCATTACCAGCCCCTAGTTCCACTAGATGCTATCTCTCTCAAGCGAATGTACTAGATCAATCCAATCTCACCGCGAATGTGATCTCAACTATATATGCATATGTATACCTACCAGAAAAGTCTGATTGGCACCAGAGAAGCACCATCGGAGAATTAATAACGGTTGGGCCCTCTTTTCTCTAGTGCATTCTTCTTAGGTGGTCACCGGATCTCTCTGGTCAGGCCACCCCAGGCGGTAGCTCTCTCTGGTCCTCCACCAGGGTGACCACCTGGGAGCTCTCGACCTTCTCTTCATAAACTTTTCTACCACATAGGAAAAGAAAGAGTATCAATTTTCAAACTTTCCCATGCACAAACATGGCTCGCTACGTGTCCTCCTCTGAACCGCATCTCTGCTGCCTCCCCTCTAGGAGCACCGGAGAGTTTCAGTGCTTCTCAACACACAGGAACAAGTCAATGCACGACTAATTCTCAATGCTGAGGCCTAAGCTCTGGTGCCCGGTGTAGCGACATGTCGGGTTAATCCACCTAAATCGAGTGCCATCCACTTGACCAACCTAATTTAAGCAAGTTAATCTCAGTGATCCCTAGGAGATGCCACACGCATCTCCACTATATCAAAACATAGGATCCCGGTTGCGTACATACACATATAACTAACACAAATCAAGATTACTCCCTTCTTCCTAGTATATAAGGCAAGGTGAAAACAGTGAAAATGGCCGAAAACGGTATTACAATGTAGAAAAAGGAAAATAGCCTGTACAAGATTTTTCTACATTTTAGTAACTAACGAGTACAAAAAATGGTTGCAAAATCAATTGAAAATGAAAAATGATATGTTTAACAAAATCCAAAATGGTCAAAAATGGTATAGTAATATAGAAACCAAAAATGGTTGGTATCTATCCCGCTCACTTTCATCCAACCACTTTTTATTCAAGTCCTATAATACAAGGTGCTCTCTCTCTCTCTCTCTCTCTCTCTCTCTCTCTCTCTCTCTCTCTCTCCACGTGTACATCCACTTTTTATTCAAATGTAGGACTTGAACATAGGGTCTGTTTGATACCTTGTGATTATAATAGTCAGCTAAAATAATCTAATTATGGCCCAAACATCCTAGATTATGAGGTACATTATTATAGTCAAAACACCATATTACAATAATCCTATAATCTACCCCGGACATGATTTTGGTGATTATGAGTATTTATCACTTGAACCTAGAATAATCCACCCTAATAATCTAGGTCGAATCCAAACTCTTTAACTACTATAGTTGATATTCTAGATTATAATAATCCTATGAAAAATCTAGATTACAATAATCTACTTGTGATCAAAGAGGCCCTTGGGTTCCCTAGAGCAGTTGGATTATCCTATTATAGGCCTTCTATAATCCGCACTCAATTAACAAATAATCCATATTTGTCTGATTTTGCTGATTCTATATCCTACTCTTCAAATTATCCATATCCGCACGGACACCAAAATTCTCTTATCCATATCCTTAAAATTCTGATCCAGATCAAATCAAATCGGAAAATGATCCATGCCACTTTCATCCTACACGTGTGGAGTCTGGAATGTTTTCCCATTATGTAGGAACATTTCTTTTTTAAGAGGGTGGTAGTACTGGCTTTTTTTTAGGAAAAAAACGTTTCTCATGGTTATTGGGGCAAAACCAGCGGTTTGAGCTCAGCAGTGTTTGCTTGATTCCAGTTGGAGCCCAGCAACAGGCTTTCCAGTACGATTCAAGGTCCAGCCATCCCAGCCAGCCCAGCTTGCATGATGAGGCCGTGAGCAAAGAGGGGACTGTGGCCGTGGCCGTGGCCGACTATTGCCGCCGGCACTCTTGCGCGTCGTGACGGTGACGCACACTGCCGCCTTGCAGTGGTTTGCACACGGCGCCTGACGACGCACGTGGTACATGTATGTATGTATATGTACACCGTACCGTGTACCAGCTGGTGTCAGGTGAGGTAATGATCAGACCTGACCAGGCCGGGAAACGACATACGTGTCCCCCTGCTTTGGCTCGGATTTGGAATGAGATGTCGGTGATGTTAAACGCTATTACGCACCGTAAGAAGAAGGAGTTGCGTGTATAGCAAATTAAAACATCTCTACATCGTGGGGCGGCCGTGTTATTGCTTCTCCGTTCATCCTTCTTTAGGGTTCGTTCGGTTCCTTGGAATTTGGCCCAGGAACAATTCCAGCTCCTCAAGACTATACAAATTAGTGAAGTAATTCAGCTAGGAATTATTCCATGCCCTCGTTCCAGAAGATCCGAACAAGGCCTTACCATTTACCGGCACTGCTGCGGTCTATGTTCTTGTCGCCGTGCGCCCGCCAATTCCTCGTCCTCGCCACGAGCGCGGCCGTGTGCCGTACGGACGTGTCGGCCGGTTGCTAGCTGCGTCGTCGTCGTCGTCGTCTGGTCATTCCGCTAGGTAGGATCGTCGGAATGCGGCCGTTCCGTCCAAGGAAATTGGATTGCTGGGCCGTCTTCCGCGCTGCTTCGACGATCTCGCATAGGCCGGATAGGAGTGAGTCGTCGTTAAAACAGGGTTCAGAATTCCCGGGCCCACTCATGTTTCTATTTCTGTCTGTTTAGCACATGCATCTTGCTTGCTTGCCTCTCTAGAAAATGCAACGGCAACGGCGACGCTGATCTTTTTAGTTAACGACGATGAATACACAGCAAGTATTTCGGACTCCAGCATTCACGTGTGAGTGCGTATAGCTGTTCAAAAACACACTTGTGTAGCACTTAGAATAGTTGACACAGAAGTTTCAAATACAGCCCAATGAAGACAATGAACCTTCTATCCTATTTTTCTACTTTCCCATCCAAACTTGTTGAAGAGATCTATTACCATGAGTTGCAGTAATCGACATCCCTGCTGCATGCTACGTACGCTGATAAGTTTTTTTTTTTTGAGTGGAACGTACGCTGATAAGTGAATAACCGAATGATGAGACCCGGCCACCACCTGCATGCATGCTCCCGAGTATACTGCCCGTAGTACTGATAATAATATTTTTATTTTCCATGCAGGTCGTCGTGCACTTAATTAAGTCCAGACGGCCAGGCCCAGACCACCATATATAATATAATATACTCATATTCCCTAGCTCCGTCCCATAATAATTGTATATTCTCTAAAATTTATAAGACAACTTAAGACAAACATCAAATGACGCATGTGTCTATAGATTACATCTAATTATTATGTTTTTCTTCAAATTATGGTTTTTTTAACAAACTTTTTCAAATATAGGTACTGATACCATGTAAAATGAGCTATATTTTTAGTACAAATTTTACGGGTCACAATACACTGTATATTTTAGGACCGAAGGATCAGTGATCCGAAATCAGAATGCATGGGTGCTTCATGAACGAGAAGAAATTAAATTCTGAAACCAGAACTAGGCGACTATTCCTCTGACGATCGACCAGACGACGACCAGTCCCGTTCTCGTCTCCATTCAACGGCGACTCGCCGGTTGCTTCTTCCATCGCACGCTGCGACCTTTCCCTCCCTGGGTCTCTCTCGCTCCAAAATAACGACTACAAGCAGGCCAGTGGAGCCGGTCAAACCATGATCAGTTGATCACCACAGACTGACTTATATTACCTACTCTATATATACAAATAAAGCATATTCTGATATTCATCGCTGGCACTGCAGGGGACAACGAAGCTGCTATTGCAATGAGCGAGCTAGAGCTAGCCTAGCCTACCCGACATGGAAGGCCAACCGAGAAGCGGCGGCGGCGGCGCTTCGTGGGGGCCACCGCCGCCGGTGGCTCCTGCAGAAGCCACCAGGCGGGCGGCCGGCGGACCGCGGCTGACGACGACGCACCAGCGGCAGCAGGTGAAAGTGAAGCACATCGTCACGAGAGAGGTGAGCACGGACGTGGCCAACTTCAAGGACGTCGTGCAACGGCTCACCGGGAAGGACTCCGCGGCCGCGCGCGCGGCGGTGGTGGCTGCCGGTTCCGACGGCACGAGCTGCTGGAGCGGTGGCACGAAGGTCGTCGCCGCCGGTCGCGGGGCTACTACTACTATTGGGGTTGCTTCGGGTGCAGTTATGTTTGAGGACAACGTAGCCGGAGCGACGCCGATGTTCCTGTCGGAGGAGGACACGAGAGGCGATGGTGGCGGGGTGCGTGACTGATCGTATGCATGTATGCATGCTGCCACGGTGTGCCATCTTATTCTTGTGCGCTAGCTCTATGTATACATTTCCGATTCTCTTCTGTTTTAATTGTTTTTATAGTTTTCGATTTGTATTACTAGAGGCAAACCATTTTTTTTTTGTTGCCATCGATTATTATGAAGTTCTGAAGTTTCGTTACTATATTATTATTTTCTGTTTACGAAGAAGCCATTGCATGTGCGACCGCTTGTATGATTTCACACCCTCAACTCCCACAAGGATTCAAGAAGCAATATTTTGTTTAGATGAAGGAAGCTTCATTTAAATAAAGTTCCAGCTTCTATAACAAGGTGTTACACAAAGCTATTACAAAAAAATAAGGAAGCGCCCTAAAAATAAGATGGTAATAGGAAAGGAGAATGGCCTAAAAATAAGATGGTAATAGGAAAGGAGAATGAGACAAAGGACACTCTAAGAGCATCTCCAAGAGTTCCCAATAATAAGCCTCCCAATCTAGGATTATTAGCAAAAATAGGGAAAAAAAAGCTCCTTCTGCTACAGTGCCCAATCTCACCTCCCAATCTTTCCGCGCTTGGAAAAATAGACCGGTCATGGGGATAATCCATGGCATATCGACCGGTCATGGGGATATATCCATGTTTCTAATGCAATCCATCGGCCAATCTAAAGGTGGAAGGATAATTTAGAAAATACTCCCTCTATCCCAAATTGTAAAGTCATTCGTGAGAAAGAATAACGAGTAGGAAATAGTTTCTAATGCAAATATACAAAAGAGGAAGAATATATAAAAATGATTAGGATAATTTAGAAAATAATATAGAATTCCTAATGTAAAATCGCCTTCTATATTTTAGGAGTGAATTATTGGAAATTATTGGAGATGATCTTATTAATTTCTTCCAATAATTTTTTACGAGTTGGGAAACTCCATGGTTTTGAGAAGAAATTGTTGGGAACTCTTGGAGATGCTCTAATAAGCAACTTAAAATCTTGGACTTAACATATAGCTCAAAACCACCTATCAACATATTTTCTAACTACAACTACAGCCACAGAGAAGTTGCTTGATACAGTTACTCGTATTCTCATGTGTACCACAAAATGAAATGGTCAAAATCTACAAAACCCCTTCGCCCTCCATCAAAATAAGGTGATAAATAGTCCATCTAAAGCACCTCATATGTCTCTCTAAAGTACTTCATATGTCTCCAAATGTCACCTAGTGTCCTTCACTAGCTGACCATCAGTCAGACATGGTCGACAACCACAAACAATTATTGACACATCTAACGATAAAAGACACTCCTTTGAGCAGTGTTGATCTTCTTCCTTTCACCAAGCCCCATATGCATCATCCCACCTTCTAGTAAATCAATAGGGCATACACTACTGGAAATGCAAATTGGCCTGTCTGCGAAAAAACCAATAGAAAAATAGCATATACCGATAGAAAAATACCGACAGGGCTAGCTCAACATAGAAGTTTAATTTTCCTGTTGATTCACCTTCAAAAACAATTTCCTATCGGTAGCCAAGAAAGTTCCTAGTAGCAGAATGGGCACAGGACGCAAAAGGATGGTCTCAAGAGAAGTGCCTGCAAGGAGGTCATAGTGTCAATTATATTCATCATTGTTGCCACCCGAGTTAGCCTTTTCACCTTGAGACCTAGTTGAGAGGGGCACTTTGGCAATGCCTCAAGAGATTTAAGTGTCACCCAAGGGCGCCACCATAACCAGTACCAGCATTAAGCCGAGCAAGGCTCTCCTTTGATCCGTCCACTTAGATTGTAACCACCATACAGTGGGGCTACTAGGCACAATTACAATGTATATGGCCGCCACCCTCCATAGAGAGGAACAGGCCGATGATGAGTGTAGATCAAAGCTAAATCTATGTCATAGATTCGCCTACCATAGAAAGGGCCAGTTGTCGCCAAAGTTGAGAAGCCAGATGCCATGAGTAGATCAACTCGCTATATGTCATGTCCAATCAAACTCGACGATCATGAGAAAAATCAGATTGCCACAATGACAAGGGCTAAGCTACTCTCCTAATTAGATTTTGCCAATCACGACTTGTCGGATTGTTTTGCTCCGGCAATATCCAGCAACGTGATCGCGTAGACGGAATCAGATGTAGCACATGAGACAGAGATTTATACTGGTTCACGGCGCGGTGCGCGCTAAACCCTACTCCAGTGGTGTGACTGCTCTTGTATTCGTATGCTCAATTACAGGGGCTGTTCTCCTAGCTTCGGGGTAGATGGAATAGGTGAAAGATTGGATGTGTAGAATGAGATGGATCCCGAGCCTGAGGTCCCTACCCTCCTTTATATAGGCAGGAGAGGTAGGGTTACAGAGAGGGTGATCGGGCTAACAGATTGTTTCCTAGTTTGTTACAACAGATTGATCCTAGCTATCGTCTAGATACGCCCGCCTTGATTTGCCTTGATCTCCACGTTGGTGGGCCGATAGCTTGATGGAGGTCATATATACGGGCGGTGCAGGTACCCCTGGTCCATATATCTGACAATAGCCCCCGTATGACTTAATGATAAGCTAGCACGTAGCTTCAAGCCCTCGAGACGTCGCAGTCTCCCCTATAAGTTATGCGTACTGTGAGTACATAATGAGCATCTTCGGGTGCCAAAGTTCTGAGCAGTGCGCTTAGATATTCCCAAGTATTGAGGAGCCAGTATGTTGCCGTTTGTGTACCAAGAGCATTTCTCGGGTAGCGAGAATCTTCTTCAAGCATCGAGTGAGACGGTGGTACACTGTACATCAAGGAACGTTGTTCCCTGGCAGCTGTAAGTGCCTAGCTCGGGTGGTGCACCCCATATCGGGAAACGTAGTTTAACTGGGCGTAGCCCTCAGGACGTTGTTAATGTTGTGATCGGGTGGTGTACCCGATAACCGGAAACGTAGCTCCCAAGACATCGTAGATGCCGTGCTAGGGTAAAAAATACCGTTGTACTCGAGAAGTTGGTTCCCGACGTATTTCGGCGTGTAAATAGTGGTTGCGCATCATTAAGCCCTAGTCGTAAAATAATAACGAGGATGGGGTAGGTGCACCTTCATCGTCCGCGCGCCACTAAGCCAGTTGATTTTTAGGGTGACGTGTTGCAGGTCGAGCACTAAGGGTGTCACGTTTTTCTTCGAGATGCATCGAGTAACGTGATTCGAATTTTTGTGAACCTCATTAGTGGAAGAGTCAGGACATTGTCCCAGAGCCTTGAGGCCAATATAATAGTGTCCCAGGGCGGGCACCACTGTGGGCGAGTAACGAACACGTGAGCAGCGGTCGACAGTTGCATTTATTACTCTTCTAGCTGGTAATGGGTAGAACGAGTGAACGTCTGCTATCACTGAAAGGAAGTGGCAGGGTTAAGCCTGACCAGCAGGGGCACATCATAAAACTCTTTTTTTAGATTTCAGTTCAGGAGCTCGTACTTTGGTTACAGCCATGGGCCAACCATTTTTCTGGTTTTCCCCGAAGGGGCACACATCCGCTGAAATAAGGTACTTCGAGCTCATCCGGATATTGGGAGATTTATGTGACACGGAGTGTCAGAGGTTTTAGGATCAGACTGGTAACCCTCCCAAATACCCCCCTGACTCTGGAGGGGCAGGGTCGATAGTGCATGAATCACTACCACTTACACCTGCTGAGGGGGTCAGGGCCGAGTACCTGATCTGAGTGTCAGATCACTCGCCCACACCGGCTCGGGTGATGGTGCGTCGAATTTCGGGCCAAGAGGCCCCACGGTTTTTGTGGTTGTGGAGATGGGTTCCTTCTCGGTGAAGCTGAAGTGTTGGTTTCAGCGGCCCATTTCCCCACGTGTGTCTCTCGGGAAGTGTCCCTCCAGAAATCATGGGGACATGGCGCAGCCTCAACGGCACCACTGCTCAGAGAGATTATTGGAATTCCATCGGCCGTGTGCGTCCCCTGTCTATAAAAATAGAGGAAGGAGAGGAGAGTTAGTACATTTGTATTGTAGCTTTTGCATACTCACCTTGCTTGTCGCAGAACGAGTATTCGAGCGGTCATTGCTAACGATGTAAGCGAAGGCGGCGTGCCAACGTAGCTGGTGGCAGCATGACGGCGTAGCTAGAGGTGGCGTGACTGGCTCAAGGTAGCCCCCGAGGGAGTACCCGAGGGTCGTACCAACGGAGTGCCCGAAGGCGGCATGTCGACGTAGCTGGTGGCAGCGTGACGACGTAGCCAGAGGTGGCATGACTGGCTCGTCGTAGCCCCCGAGGGAGTACTCGAGGGTCATTGCCAACGGAGTGCCTGAAGGCGGCATGTCGACCTAGCTGGTGGAAGCGTGACGACGTAGCCAGAGGCGGCGTGACCGGCTCAAGGTAGCCCCCGAGGGAGTACACGAGGGTCATTGCCGACATAGTGCCCAAAGGCGGCATGTCGACGTAGTTGGTGGCAGCATGACGATGTAGCCAGAGGCGGCATGACCAGCTCAAGGTAGCCCCCTGAGGGAGTACACGAGGGTCGTTGCCGACGGAGTGCCCGAAGGCGGCATGTCAACGTAGCTGGTGGTAGCATGATGATGTAGCTAGAGGCGGCATGACCAGCTCGAGGTAGCCCCCGAGGGAGTACCCGAGGGTCGTTGTCGACGGAGTGCCCGAAGGCGGCTTGTCGACGTAGCTGGTGGCAGCGTGACGACGTAGCCCCCGAGGGAGTACCCGAGGGTCGTTGCCAACGGAGTGCCCGAATGTGGCATGTTGATGTAGCTGGTGGTAGCGTGAAGACATAGCCAGAGGTGGCGTGACCATCTCGAGGTAGCCCCTGAAGGAGTACCCGAGGGTCGTTGCCAACGGAGTGCCCGAAGGTGGCATGTCGACGTAGCTAGTGGCAGTGTGACGATGTAGCCAGAGGCGGCGTGACAGGTAGCCCCCGAGGGAGTACCGGGGGGTCGTTGCTGACGGAGTGCCCGAAGGCGGCGTGTCGACGTAGCTGGAGGCAGCGCGGCTGACTCGCTATTG